CGGCTGCCCTTTCCTTCTATTTCTCGAGCGCGCTCTCCTTCGATCAGCGAAGGCCGCGCATTCGGATAGGTATGAACTGGTTTCCTCTGCATCCCCTTCTACACTTCTACGCTGGGATTTGTGCTAATGATGCTTTCCTTTTAAAATCGGCTTCTTTCCTTGCGCGAAACCCTAAATAAAACCAAGAAATCTTAAATGCATGAGATATTGGCGTTAAAATTTCGTTTTTTGAGTTGAAACTTTTACTTGTATAAATTTGAAGCAACAGACTTGTACATTTTATGTGGTATTTTACTTGTTAGGTCGTTTTCTCTTCGTCGAATCCATGAAAGTTCATGGTTAATTTTCTTAGTATGCAATTAGTTGTATAAGACTGCCATTTATGGCTGCAGCATGTCTTCCTTCTTTGTTCTCTACAGGAAAAGAGTTAACATAACTTTCTTTTACACATTAGTGATGGATTCTGTCTTGATGCTAGAAACAAGTAAAATGAAATGAAAACAAAAAGGGGTTTTACATACTAACCATTCAAAATATTGAATTTAACATTCTAACAATCCAAACTTTAAATAAAATATTTTAACCACCTAAAACTTTAAATATTACATTCAAACCATCCAAAACTCTCACTCAAAACCTTCATGAATGGGCATGGGAGGGTGGTAGCAATTAAAAAAGTGGTTAAAATGTTCTATTTAGGTTCAGGTGTTTATAGTGTTATATTCAGTTTCTTTGCAAAAAGAAAAAGAAAAATAAAAACTTAAATCAATGGTTGCATATTCATTGTCATCCGATAAGATTTCATTTTCTTTTGTTCCCGGAGTTACGATCTAATTGAAGTTAATTCTATGCTTTAGGCACTTAGGCATTGCTCCATGCAATGAATATCTTGCCAATGGTTGGGTGCTTTTCTTTTGATACACTTATTTTTTGCTGCAATTTATGCTGTTCCATTGGAGCATCTTTTTAGTTCTAGTATTTATTTTTTGTAAGATTTACGTACACACCACTCAAACCTTGTGTTATTACATATCTAACACCTAAACTTGAAAATTTTCACATATGCCACTTTATCTATACATGCAAAGGTGTATTTCACCTTTTAAAAGTTAAAAGACAGGTATTTTTGATATGCATGATTGATTTGGGTGTATAAATGTATAAAACAAACTTTAGGTATTATATATGTTTATACAGAGGAATTGGGTGCTATGAATGTAAATGCCTTTTCTTTTTTAACAAAAGATTCAATATGCTTCTCATCCCTCTGCAATTGTTATACAATGTTTTCTGTTTTCTTTTCTCAAGTGATGTTTTTCTATGGCCAGGTTGTGTTTAAACAAAATGTCTCGTGTTTATGTGGGAAATTTAGATCCACGAGTGAATGAGAGAGATTTGGAGGATGAATTTCGAGTATATGGAGTTATAAGAAGGTACTTTTGGGAAAGACGATTTACTTCACTTTATCCATATTGTAATGTTCATCATCATCATCATCATTTTTAGCAATGTTTTGACCATTGGGCTGTCTTTATACATGAATGCGGCATTTTGTCATAACATGTTAACAAGGTAAAGTTTATGGGAAATTTACATACGCAGCACACAATTCTTATGTATTAATATATCTCACACCTAAACTTTCATATTTACATACATTGCACTTCGGTGCAGTAAACCTATGCATGAGCAAGTGTATTAACTTTTAAAAAAGTTAATAGTGTTATTTTTTACCCGACATTAAAGATTTGAGTGCAATTTGTGTAAATATGAAAGTTTTGGTGCGAGACATGTAAAAACATATGAATAGCTTGCTATGTTTATAAATGTCTCAAAATTTATTTCTCAGGAAGTCTTATAAAATGAATGTAAATCAGATGGTTCGAGGCAGAGTTGAGCTGAAAATTGAAACATGTTTGAACTCGTGTTATCATACTTCTAAAACTCATCTTTCTTTAGTAAACTATGTTGGATAATGCAAATTCTAATCTTAGTATATTATATATTTGATTTAGTGTATCGTCCCTGTCATTTTATATGCAAACATATATGCATGATGTGATAATATGAATTTTATTTCCTTTGAATTTCTTGTCTGACCAACTATTTTGAATGTGAAGCATTGTTTATTCTAATGATTTTTTTTTTTTCAATTTTATACCAATGTAGTAGATGCGATATAATTGTTGTTTCCACTGAGCTTTACTTCACATTTGAATCTAGATTCCTGGCTTCATATAATATTTGGATTCTGATACCTTTTTATGCTAAAAAGAATTAAACACAATCCTTCTTGTCACGGTTTGGATTAAATCTCTTGATTGTGTTGATTATAACAAAAAAATGAAAAGTAAATTATCAATGTTGTAATCTATCAGTCAGACAGACTGGGAATGTTTGAGATGCATTAATAATCTTCATATTTATGTTATTATTGTGGTCAAATAATTTGCTAGAGCTTTAAGCTCTACAGCTAGGATTACTAGAATTTTGAAAGTTTTCATAATAGCAGTCAAACAGCTGTAAATGTTACGCTCATTTGTATGCATTTTCTTATCTAACACCTAAACTTTATTGTTTACATTTAGACCATCCAAATTATTCATATCACGTCAAAATACCAACATTTTAATATTGAAAAAGTGTAATATACCTAATTATGCATAGGCAAGGTGGCATGTATGTAAAAATGGGTGTTTAGGTGCTAGATATGTAAATCTTCCTTAACAATAAGTCAATTCCTCTCTTAATTCTATGCATCTGTCTACTACTGACTGAATATATTGGATTTGCTAAATTTATAGCTATAAGGGGTTTTTGATGTTTGAACTTGATAATTTTTTTTGCAATGACTGTTTATGATTATGTTTGTGAACATGGAAACTCTTTTATTATTAAAAGTGGCAATTCACATTAGGAAGGAATTTATTTTCTTGCCTCAGAATATATTTCACTATTTGTGCTTTATTTATTATATATTTTATTTTCTTGATTTTCTTATTTGGATGAATTCCTATTTGGTTTCCTTTCCTTATTAAATATATGTTGCAAGTTGTAATACAAGATTTGAGAAAATAAAGTCCTTCAAGAATTATACATGGCATAAGAGCTCCAAAATCAATTTCGTTGGGCCGTAATCTATTTCCATATCATCCCGTCGACGGGTGGACTCATAGAGACATCCAAAGCCAACATTTGATGCCATCTTCACACACGCACACTCAAGGTCGTTGTTTCCACTATGGTGCGTTATCTGGTTCTTCAACGTAGTGCGTTTTGCCTCTCAGATGATATTGCATTGGTCGTCCCCTCCAATACATTATGTTCAAAAATCTCAATCGATTGTTCACTCCGTTTGAACATCTCACTCTTCTGATCTTTATGTTCAAATTGGATTGCATAAGCGTATGCTCTTGTAAGCATGAGTCGGTAGCTGCCGTCTGAGATGAAGTTCTTCTGGTTGTTGTCTTTCCATGACACTGCTGTCATTCAAATACTTCTGTTTGTGCGTCACTGATCTATTTGAATTATTAGATTTCAACTAATTGACTCGTCTCATCCTCTCATATTACAACTACTGTTTCAATTTGCGAATGATGCAGTTTGTCATAGCCCCCACCTCACGAGTCGTCAACTTGCAAATGGCTTGGCCTCTTTACTGAGTGCCAAATGCTTGGAAAACGAGAGTTGTGCATCTTCTTCTATGTCTTGTTTAGTTGTCCCGCAACTGATCTTCTTGATTTGAACTTCACAATCTTATCATGGTCAAGCACACGACATGACATTACAATATTTTTTCTTAGAAGTTGCGTCCAAATCCGAGCCAAATCTGAGTCTACATCTTCAATCCCTACCGTATTTGAAAGCTCATCTCACGTTGTCACAAATCATAAACTACATGGCCATAATTTTCTTCAGTGGTCGTAGTTCGTCTGTAAGGATATCTGCGGCAGAGGGAAATGACATCTCACATGTGAAATTTTAGCTCCAAAAATGAATGATTCAAAATATTGAGTCTGGAAAACTAACAACCACATGGTTAATAAATTTCATGACCACAAAGACAAATGACAATTTTCTACTCTATAGGACAATCAAATAGATATTGAAGTTGTGTGTGAAACTTACTATTGTATTGAAAACTCCTCAGAGCAATTTGAAATTGAGACCAAATTAAATGATCCACGACAAAGAGATTGAGTGTTATTGAATATTTCAACATTATCACTTGATGTTGGCTGCAACTAGACACGTACGAGATTAATTCTTGGAAATGCCCGGATGACTTTGTCTTTTATAGGAGTATTACCGAACGAAAAAGAACCATAAAATTCCTCCTTAGACTTAAATAAGGGAGAATCCTTTACAGAGCTTGGAAGGGAGGAGAGTAGAAAGAAGTTGATGATGCCAACAATCACACCCCACCATCTGTTGAAGGATCTACATGGCACTCAAAATTCTTTTAAGATTAACAAGACTAAGAAGGGACAACCATGCTGTGTCTAGTATAAGAAAAAAATGTTGAAAATTACAAGGTAAAACTACAAATTTAAAGTCGTCTAATGGAAGCTATGATAGGGAGAACCGGAGAACCATGCAAATACTGTCATGCAGAAGTTTGTCCATTCACCAGGGAACAAATTGAGGCGCTGTAGAAAATTTTAGGTCATGGTTACAATTTTGGGTAAGCATCGAGCAACTGATAAATCTACTAGCACACCTAGGTATCTTACCCCATGAACTTGTTATTCAAAGCAATAAAATAAAATCTTGGATAGTTGACTTCAGAATTTCAGATCATATGATAAGAGATATCAATATCTTCAAAAATTTTAACGCTTCTTGACAACCACTCTACAGTTCAAGCAACTGATAGTACTTTCTCTCTTGTAGCTGGATCTGGAAAAGTCGAATTGACAAATGATTTTCATCTCTACTATGTACTTTACGTTCCAAGTTAAACCACAATCCATTCTCAATCATCAGACTCGCTCTTGACTTAAAATGTGTGACTAAATTTTTTTTTAAAGTTTTTGTGATTTTCAGGTGGTGGGTTCGAAGAAGATGATTAACAGTGTTGAGATACTAGTGGTCTATATCTGCTTAAAGGGAATAATCTCATTGGCAGACAAGTTCACCCGTCAAGTTGTATTTTCTAGTCTAGTTATGTTGGTCAAGTTTTTAATTCCAATTCTATTTTAGTTGAAAGGCAAGACATATTAAGTCATTGTCGCTTTTTTCATCCAAACTTTGCTTGTATTGAAAAAACGTTTCCATATTTGTCTATCATTCTATTGTTGTAATTCTCACAAATATTTGGGGACCCACACAAGTAAAAATTATGACGGGGCACGGTGGTTTCTTTCATCTCTAGATGATTATATTAAAATGACTTGGCATTTCTTATAAAAGGAAAATATAAAACTGTCACCATACTTTAGTTATTTACTCAATGATACTCTATTCTAAAACAAAATTCAAATTCTTAAAATTGATAATGCTAAAAAAATATTTTAATTCCACTTGTGGTCCTTGTTTTTTAAAACATGATATCATCCATATCAGTTCTTGCGTGGATTCTAAACAAAATTGGGTCGCTAAGAGGAATAACAAATATTTATTTGAGGCGGCTTGTGCCTTTATGATATCATGCGCCTAAAATCTTTTTGGGGAAAGCTATACTTCCGTCACATATCTTATCAATAGAATGCCATGTTTTGTTCTAAAATTTCAGATCTCTCGTAACATTCTCATGGAATCCTATTCACATATTCACTTTATTTTTTCCTCTGACTTTCCATTGAAAGTCTTTTGGTTGTCCCGTCTTTGTTCGCATCCACTAACAATATCGCGCCAAACTAGATTCTAGATCTTTTAGATGTATCTCCATCGGTTACTCCTCCAACCAAATGGATATAATTGCTACTCTCCAATCACTTGAAATGTATACAACTCCTTGGATATTACATTTTTTGATAATCAATCTTACTTTTCCAAATTTGAAATTCAGGGGTAGAACTCGATGAAATATTGAAATTGGGATCTTCTCCAAGGCACTCAAACTGATTCAAACCCTGCCACTCAAACAATTGAACCGCATCCTACCACCCAACCAGCTCAACTTGAAGAATCAAACTCCGCCATTGAAGCTGTCCCAAATATCTCCACTCTTCCTCAACTTGACACCATTGATTTGGAACTTGTTGTCTATATCAGAAGGAAAAAGACCACTGAGCACGTAGAAGATACCATGCAGATTAGGAACAAACAACTTGAACTAAGCCCTCCATTGATAACCATAATGGCATGAAATTTTTATCTCATGCCCAAAGGTGTACCGATCATCCAATCGAAAAACATGTAACTTATGAAATGTTAGCATCTTATAAACCTTTTATGACAAACCTTGATAGTGTGCTAATTCCCAACTCTATTCAAGGGGCTCTAAAAGTTTATGCTTGGAAACAAGCAGTTGATGAAGAAATTCGAGCTCTAGAAATAATAACACATAGACGCATACAAACTTACCTTATGGAAAAAATTTTGTAGGCTGCAAATAAATATTCATGATTAAGTACAATGGAGATGGAACTGTAGAGAGGTTTAAAGCCTGATTGGTGGCAAAGGGTTCCTCACAGCCATATGGGATTGGCTATCAGGAAGGCTTCGCACCTATTGCCCAACTAAACATGGTATAGATTCCACTCTCTTGTAGTATACCGTGATTGTCATTTATATCAACTGGACGTTAAAAAATGTCTTATTGAATAGAAGTCCACATGACTATATCTTCAAGTTTGGAAAATTGGTTTAACAACAATTTGGTTTGCTAGTTGAAGAAGTTATTATATAAAAGTAATCTCCTCATAATTGGTTTGACATGGTTGCGAAGATTGTGATTACAAATATATATCATTTGTGTTAAGCTGATATACACCATTTGTTAAATCCAATACTAGAGACAAATTGTTATTTTTCACAATATATGTAAATGATATTATCATGAAAGGTGATCATTCAGAGTAAATTATCAAACCAAAAAGAGACGCTTGCAACAAAATTTGAGATTAAGAATCTCAGGAATCTCTGATATTTTATGGGGATGGAGGTGGGTTTAAGGATGGACTTGTGATATTCCAAAGGAAGTGCAGCCTTAGACCTGTTAAGTGAAATTGACATGCTTGGGTGTAACTATGATGACACACTTGTGGATTTCAACTAAGGGCCTGGTAGAATTAAGAAAGCATGTCAATTGACGATGAAAGATATCTAAGACTTGTGCCCAAACTACTTTATCTATCACAAACAAAACATGATATTTTTTACTCAGTCAATTTAGTAAGTAATGATTTGAGTTCTAAAAAATAATAACACATGTACACTTATAGAGTTATCTCATGGAAAAAATCCTGTAGGCTTCAAAGAAATATTCATGATTAAATGCAAAGGAGATGGAAGTGTAGAGAGGCTCAAAGCCAGAGTGGTAGCAAATGACTTTACACAGTCATATGAGATTGACTATCAAGTCATCTTTGCACTTATTGCCAAGCTCAACACTTAAAGTTTTATTCTTTTGCAGTAAATAATGATTATCCTGTATATCAACTAGGGTTGTCAATTTGGCTCGTTGTTCGTGAACAACTTGTGTTCGGCTTGTTAAGCAGCTCGTGTTCTGCTCGTTCGTCGAACGAGCCGAACACGAACAAATTTTTAAGCTCGAAATGTAAATGAGCCGAACACGAACAACAATTTGTTCGCTCGTGTTCGACTCGAAATGACTCGAAAAAAAAATTATATAACTTTTTATACAACAATATATTACATATATTATTTTGTATAATAATATATTATATATATTTATGTCTAAGTTTAAATCATGACACCTCATGTGGCAATGTGGTTAGTGTCTTCTTTTGTATATATTTGATCCAGGTTCGAATCCCACACTTCTCATCTATTTTACTCAATTTTAGTTTAACGAGCCAATTTTGTGCCGAACACGAGCCGAACACGAAAATAAATATTTAAATCGAGCCGAACACGAACACACTGTTCACGAGCCGATTTCGAATACGAGCTATTTCGAACGAGCCGAACACGAGCCAAGTTTGAGCTCGCTCAATATCAACTTGATTTAAAATACGTGTTCTTTGATGGGCATCTTGATGAAGTCTACTTGACTATACCCCTAAGTTTTGAAAATCGAATAACATGTTGGTTTGTAAGTTGAAGTTATTATATGACTTGAAACAATTTTCTCATACTTTGTTTAACGATTTTGCTATGGCTATGATTACAAATGTATATCATGAATGTTAAGTTGATCAAATACTATTTGTTAAAGCAAATATTAGAAGTAAAATTATTATTCCTATAATATGTGTAAATGATATTACCATGACATGTGCTGATTCACAGGAAATTATCAGACTAAAAAAGGATGCTTGCAACAAAATTTGAGATGAAGAATCTCGAGAATCTTTAATATTTTCTGGGAGTAGAGGTGGGTCTAAGGAGAGAATTGTCATATCTCAAAGGAAGTACATATTAGATATGTTAAGTGAAACTGACATGCTTGGGTGCAAACCTGCTGGCATACCTATGGATTCCAACATAAGGCAGAACATGGTGAAGAAAACAATTTAGTTGACAAATAAAGATATTAAAAACATATGGGCAAACTGTTTTACCTATCACACAATGTACCTGATATTGCTTATTTGGCCATTGTAGTAAGCCAATATATGAATAATCCAAATTAAGATTATTTGGAAGTCGTGAACAGAATCCTGAGATACTTGACGATGACATTTAGATATGATTTGTTCTTAAGAAGATTTAGAAATCACGAGATGGAGATACACACGAATATTAGTCGGGCAAGAGAGGAAACTGATAAGAAATGGATATTGTTCATACTTTTGGGGCAATTTCGTCATGTGAAGTCAAAAGCAATTTCTCCCTTGGAGTAGTGTAAAATTTGAATATCATGCTCTTGCATTATGATTATGTGAGGGAATGTGGATTCAAAGGCTATTAAGGGAAACTAAGGTTGAGATGAAAGACACAATTAAAATGCCCATTTTTAGCCAAACGACTATTATTTTAGCCAAAAATCTTGTAAGTCATTACAAAACAAAATACATTAAGATTGATCAACAATTCATGTAAGAAAAAACTAACCATGGAATTGTTCAGCTCAATAATGTTCTTACATGACTTCAGACCACCGATATTCTCACCAAAGCATTCCTAAGAATCAATCATGATGAATTGAAGTTCAAGCTTGGTTTGTACAATATTTACAACCCAACCTGAAAGGAGTGTATTTGCAAAGTGCTAATCCACATCAGAAAGAAATTTATTTTTTTTCTTTATAATATATTTTACTTATTGTATTTTCTTTATTAAATATTTCTTTTTCATGTTTTTTCTCTTTTGGAGGGATTCCTATTTGATTTCTTTTTTTATTATTTATATTTAGCAAGGTTTAATGCATGATTTGCGAGAAATAAATTTCCTTGAAGAATTCTACACTTACCATTGAATTTATAAATTCTATCATCAATTATTGCAATTTGAGAAAAAAATGATATCAATTTAATTACTCTTCATTCTTATTTTATGTCCTGTTGTTACAAATGATGTGGTGTAAGCGATTTGTTTTTCTTATATTATTGAATCTCATGAAATGATTTGTTTCTCAAATCTATTTGTAATGTAGCATTTGGGTTGCTAGAAGACCACCAGGTTATGCTTTTATCGACTTTGATGACCATAGAGATGCTCAAGATGCAATTCGTGATATGGATGGTATGGAAATAAGCTGCCCTTCATATTTTTTTCTTTGGAGCAATACTTATTGATTAGCTAGCTTCAAACTTCTACCAAATTATTTTCAGTTTATGGTATGTTTTTTATGTCATACATGTCACGTTTTTTTTTGGTTTTTATATCCATGCAAAATTATTATTATGCTGCTTTGTGTTTATTATTTATTATGTAAAATACATTCTTTTACTTGCCATCATTTAGTTATTATCCACGCTCGGTTGTTTTGTACCAATGGGCAGCAAATCTTTTGCCATATGGCAATCTTTTAGGACTCCTTTGTAATCAATTTTATTTTATTTTAAAACATATTTGTTTATTATGTTTCTTACATTTTTTTTTGGTTTCTAAAGAACAATTGATCATGTTTTTAAAAACACAAAATAAATTTTAGGTGTTCTGAAAAACATATTCTGATTCAAATCAAAACACAAGCAAAAGAAAATATAATAAAAAAATAAAGATGATCCCAAAGGGCCCTTAGTTTATGATGCTGATTGTGATGTCACCGTCAGAAAATCTCTCTTTTACTTTGAAAGGAATAACCTGGCATTTCCTTAACCTTTATTTTTCTTATAGAACGAAGGGCCTTAATCTGCTCCAACACTGTAAATGCATTTAAAGAAAATTTTGAGTTTTCTAAAGAAAACCTGTGTTTTGCGTGCCAATTTTCTTCTACTGACCAATATAATTCTAGAAATAAAAAAAGCTGATAATAATGACATATGAATTGTTATAATTTTTTAATGCATTGTGCTTTTGTGGAAAAATGAACGATGATGTTAAAATACAAACTTTGAAATATATCAAACGCAATAAAAAAAGTTAAGATAAACCTAGACTTGGTACACTTACTGTTTTGTTAGCATCAAGAAATGCAACTTTTGTATTTGATGCCTTCTTTTTTACTTATAGTTCAGGACCCCCTTTTGAGACACTTTTTATAAATCCTTCCGATAATGCGGAACAAATAAATTTTTATTGGAGCATGAAAGTTAGTGAGCGAAGGAACAATGCCAATTTTAGAATTATTTACAGTTTAGAACTTAAATAATTTTAAATTTAAGGTTTTTTATCATCATATTGTATTTGATAGTAACATCACTTATTATCTTTCATAGAATTCTTTAGTTACACCCCTTTCACAATAAATCTATGTACAAACAGATACAAACAGATTTTAACAATCATATTTAATGTATCTTCCATCATTACATATACTTTTACAGCGATGTGTCGGAATACAATCCCTGACATGCGTTTTCTTTGTTTGTTCCATTTGATTTAGGTTTTATATTGTGCCTATTGTTTGATTCTAAAGGTTAAATTTCTTGTTCTCTATTGTATATGCCTGAATCATCTAAGTTACATTGAAGTCAGTTGCATTGATGTATATTTTTTTGGGAGAACTCATTTCTTGTTTGGGGCCTCTGACGAGTTGTATTTTTACCACAATTATATAAAATTTTTACTAGTTTTATTGCTATTTTATTTAACTCTTATCGACTCTGTCATTAGCATGTATTAATTGTGCCACTATTTGAAGGCCCTCAAGAGTCATTGAGTGCAAGCACCGTTTAAACAATGCAAATCATGCAAATAACGAAACTGGATGAAAAATTAGGGGCATTTAAATACATACCACCTAATTCTTATGTATTTACATATCTAACAACTAAATTTTAATCATTTCGTTTATGCCACCAAATTTTTTATATCACAAAAAATACCACTATTTTGACTTTTAGAAAGTGAAATACCCATTTTCATTCATAGGTAAGTTGTCATATGTGTAAAAGTTAAAATTTATGGGTTAGATTTGTAATTACATAGAAATTGAGTGGTATGTATGTAAATTTAGGTAACTAGCAGCATCTAATTGCAAAAATATTTGTGGCGAGGTGAAGTAAATCTTACGTTGCATGCTCAGCACAATTCTTTGCCAATTGTAGCAAATCTTGAATGTCATGCAGTTAAACAATTGAAAACGGTTTTGTTTTAGCTAAATTAAAATTGGGATGATTACATGCATAGCACTATAAACTTTGCTATTTACAAAATTAGCATTTTCGGTAGTTTTATTATGAATTTTGAGTGAAATTTTTGAAAAAAAGGATGAAAGATTCCATTAAATTAATAGTGTCATAGACGCAAGGATCTTTGTCACTTTTATTTATTTGTGGAGTCCATTTGAATTAAAAAGAGATGTTATTCCTATGAGAAAATGGATCCTTTTTTTTAAAAAAAAATTCCTTTTATCACTTGTTTTTTACAGATGAGAATGCTCAACTTTGGTATACTGCACATTTTAGCTTGAGGGGATGTTTTTGTATCAGTTAATTGAGTGAACATGGTCATGCTAGCATTTTGCTTTACCAAATTGTATTTCGTAATAATTTGAATTTGTCTGGCTTATCTGCATTCTTGTGCGAATATTTTCTTTTGGAGGTGTGTGCTCATTTATAAAGAGGAGCCATTTTCAGCTTTTCACATACAGGGTATGAGGATATTTTTTTGTGTTGCTTTAACTATTTTAACAATTTTCTACTTTTATGATTCTCTATTCAGGTAAAAATGGATGGAGGGTTGAGTTGTCTCACAACTCGAAGGGCGGCGGCGGCGGTGGTCGAGCAGGTGGCCGTGGTGGTCGTGACCGCCAAGGTGGATCTGATTTGAAATGTTACGAGTGTGGAGAGCCTGGTCATTTTGCTCGTGAGTGCCGCTTGCGCATTGGCCCTGGTGGACTAGGGAGTGGACGTCGCCGCAGCAGAACCCCTCCTAGATATCGTAGAAGTCCAAGTTATGGTAAAAGGTAATGTAATATATCACTTGTCAGCGGTTCCTTGTGTAATTTTTTCTAGGCATTTACATATCTGCAGCTGAATTTCTATGTACTTACATATCTAACACCTAAATTTTTTCATTTATACCGCCCAAATTTTTCATATCGGATAAAAACTGACACCTTTTTAACATTTGAAAAGTGAAACTTCTTTTTATGTTTAGGGAAGGTGTACATCTTTTAATGTATGGGCGAGGTGGAATTTATGTAAAAATTGAAGTTTAGGTGTTAGATATGTAAATACGTAGGAATTGAGTGGTGTGTATGCTATTCATCTTTTTTTATGCTAAGTATGCTTGGGGTTCCAAGTTACATCATACATTCATTTGTTCTCATTAGTCACTATGGTGTTCAACAGTTCCATCATGCAAATAATTTAGGGGCATTTATGCACATGCCACACAATTCTTATATATTCACATATCTAACACCTAAACTTTCATATTTACATGAATATCACTCAAAGCTTTAACATTATATAAATAAATAACACTATTACTCACTTCCTAAAATTGAAATACATCTTTTCATGCAATAGCTTTTTAACACTATAAACTTTCATATATACATGCATATCACTCAAAGCTTTTAACGTTATATAAAAAAAATACTACTATTACTTACCATCTAGAAGTGAAATATATTTCATTGGTCAAATAAGCAAATATGTCTATTATTTCTAGCAAATTCTTTTGACAGGAGCCCCAGCCCTCGGGAGAGGTCACCACGCCGCCGGAGCTACAGCCGATCACCCGCTCGCGGCAGGAGCTACAGCCGTTCCCCACCTCGAAAGCGCAGTTACAGCCGCTCCCCCGCTCCCCGTGGCCGAAGCTACAGCAGATCCCCAGCTTATGCTAATGGGTAGAAGCTCTACCCAGCTTCCTTCACATGAACCTCACATTATATATTCCAAAGCAGTACTATATTTGCCACTTTTCTGTCTTCAACTGTATTGATTATATTTCAGGAATGGTGCTGATGCTTAGGATGGCGAACCCGAAAGTCCAAATATTGTCTGATGTCTGCTTTCTCTTAATGTTGTCAAACTTGACTGAACAAGGTTCATTCAGTTCTGTCCTGTCTTTAATATTTGCTATTTTGTTATTGTTAGTGTGCTAAACCAGAAGATTTGCTTTGAATGTCATCAAGACTTAAAGTAACATTTTCATTTCTCTTTTTTCTTTGTTTTTCTTGTGTTGAGGAGGCATCGACATGCTTCGTCGCCACTTTGCTGCGTCGGCATGCATTTCTTCTTCTCTGCTTCTTATCTACTACTCGCGGTTCCGCCCTTCGGTCTTCTTCGAATAAGTCGTGCTTCTTCTTCGGTCTCGACTCACATTGTAATTAGGCTTGTTTATATAATTTGATGGGGCATTTACATATATAGCACCCAATGCTTATGTTTTTACATGTCTCACGCCTAAACTTTTATAATTACACACACATCTCACATAAAAAATATTACTGTTACCACTTTTTAAAAGTAAAATACACCTTTTCCATGCATAAATATGAAAGTTTAGGTTTGAAATATATAAATACATAGGAAATGTGGGGGCTGTGAATGTAAACATCCATCTTTTGATTAGCATTAGTGTAGAGTTCTTCTTGGATGGCTCCGCTCTCCCCAACTGAGTTGGTATTGTATGTAAATCCACTTCAGCTGAGGTAAATGCTGTTCTGCTTTTGTGAAGATGTTTGTGTTGTGTGGGCTTTATTATACTACAGCTGTTGAGAGTTTTCCACAGGATTTGGAGAGCTTGTTTGTTCGGCCATCTGCTGGTGGATCTATATTTCCTGGCCCTCTACAATAAAAGCTTGCACCAGTAGTGTGTTACCCTCTCCTCAAATCTGAATGAAAACCAAAGCTTTTGTCTGAGTTCTGCGCCTGCTTTTACCCTTTTTTTCTGCACCACGAAACAAATCGTAAGACCCAAACTATCTATGGTTCTCTTCTCCTGGGATTGTTTCTGTGAAAATCTTTACTTTTTCTCGTGTTATTTTGGATATGTTTGAGGAGAAATTATTACGCCCGGTAAACCTGACATGTGGACGACGACATGAATCTCACCATGCCGCCGGACGCACGGCGCGATGTGATCCACAACATCATGTCCGGAGGCCTGGTGCCGTTCACACTATGTTCGCACTATGTTCGCACATCCGGTTTACTAGACATTTTTCTCCTGTTTGGGGCACTGATTTTTTGCTTTCTTTGGAGGGTTTTTTCTTTTTTGTTGTTGTTTTTTAGTTTTTTTTTTTTTTTTTTTTTTTTTTTTTTTTTTTTTTTTTTTTTGGAGGGTTCAGCAGTTTTTTTATAGTGCATTTGCACAGATAACATTGAATTTTTATGTATTTACAAGTCTAACAGCTAACTTTCACATTTACATGTGCAACCCTCAGTTTTTGCATGACATAAACAATATTACTATTAGTAATTTTTTAGAAATGAAACACATATTCATGCAATGGGGTGTTATTGAGAAAACAGTTTTTTGTAGAGGTGGTTACATGCAGGCCAGTTCATGTTTATGTATTTATGTATCTATTACCTGAGCTTTCATATTTACATAAAGAAGAAATTTTAAAAGTGAAGCACATATTTGCATGCATTGGTTTATGACACCAAAGAGTTATAAATGCATCGAAATTTGGATGTTAGACATGTAAATACATATTGCATGGTATGTCTGTAAATCTCTTTTTTATAATTAGAGATAATCTAGTGATCATTAGAATAAAACTATAGTTTGACTTTTTTTTTTTTATAATGACATGTAAATGAAACCAAAACTTTTGTCAAGCTCCGCACCTAATTTTCCTTTTTTTTTTCTGGAGTTTTATTCTTTTGTTGGCCTTCAGATTTTTCTTTTGGTTGGCATTTACTTGCTTGGCACACCATTTTTATGTATTTACACAGCGTTTTCTATCAGTCATTTGCATACATACCACTTAATTATGTGTTTACATTATCTAACACTTCAAAATTTGAAACATTTATTTAAATTTATTGATTTATGACACGAACTGGTTTTAATCATATGGCGTGTTTGGGGTGGCGGTGTGTTGTTGTATCTCATTTTTTTAAGTCAGGCAAAATTGTGCTTTCTTTGTGTACTCAAAAAGTTGTTGAAAGTTATGTTTTTGTATTAGACTTGGGGTATGTTTGGGGCAGCTGCAGCTTATTGAATAATCTGCTGATAAGCTGATTAAAAATAATATGCTGATAATTTAGGTGCCGTGGCTATTACAAATTTTTTTTTTTTTTTTTATAATTTAGGTGCCGTGGCTATTACAATATTTTTTTTTTTTTTTTTGGATATATAAATACACAGGAATTAGATGGTATGTATGTAAATGCTCTAATAAAAACATATAAGAATTTTATGCATGCTCATTTAATTGATGGCTACTTACCATTGTCGTTGCTATAAATTTTGTTGTGATTATAAAAATTTATGATCACAATTTTTAAAAAGTATGTAGAATTATGGGGAGTGATCATTAGGTTATAAGGAAAAATGTACAGAGATTACCCGGCAATTCATGTGTTTGCACATCTAACATAAAATTTTTTATGTATGAAAAATCACTTCTATAAATATTGTGGTGTGAATGTAAATAAGGAGCTTAAGTTATATATTAAACTAGGAATGGCTAGAGGCTATTATACGAGCATTCAACTACTTTTAATGTATCTAATAATTTGAGTACCACTTCCTTAAGGTTAATTTTGCCTGAGGGGATTTGAACTTCCGACCTGAGGGGGTCTTATACGGTGAATGCCAATCAATATGTTGGGATATGTGTATTTTATTTTTTTAAGAAAAAAAAGTTTGATGTTTTTGATATCACATTTTTTAACTTTGTATTTGTTCTTGAATTACATACATCTATGGAATAGGGTGTAGAAAGGAGAAAGAAAGATATTTCAGAACAAAAGTCTATTTTTTTGTATTTGGTCCTCCCTTTTATTGTTCCTGTATTTATAGAAATCTATAATCATTTTGTAAAATAAGATTATGCCCTGAATATTTTGGTTGTCAGTTGACCTTCACCAGCCGGCTTGGTTGATTCATGATATGACTGAAATGTTATGAAGCAACGATGATTTATATAAGTATACGTTCAAGTGGTACAAAGAATTGAGTCTATGTATCGATCACACGAGAAAAGAGTAAGCTCCAAAAGTCTAGAGAAGTTAAAATCTATACGTTTTGAGTCTAGCTTGAATGTTTGAAGGATGGTGATTTTAAAGTTTTTATATATTTATTTATTTATTTGTTTAAAAAGTAAAACCTATTACTAATTTTGAGTTTGAAAAGGTATTAAATGCCTCCCTAGAATTTGTCATATATAAAGCAGATCTAAGTGATTCTAATGAAGTTGACAATCAACAATAACAGTTTTCTTTAGTCCATCCCAGCAGCCATAATAAACTTAGTGTTTTATTTTACAGTTACTCGCCTAATCATGCAAAAACTCTAATGTTTGCAAATTTTTTTACATGATTGCACCATTTTTAAAGCAATATTTCTATTCTCTCAGTGGTGTCATATTAGATCGCAAACCATTTTAACTTTCTAAGTAATCAATTTAGGAGTAAATTAAAATAAAAACTATCAACCTAAGATCCAAATTACATAATAACTTACAAAGACGATTCTAATTTGCATAAAATCTAGTTCAAGGAAGAAATAAATTTAAGGCATACACATAACAGACGGACATAACACAAATTTCATTACAAATTCAAAGTAAATGAAGTTTAGAACGATCACACTAATGCTCCTCTAAAGTGCACAAAGTTACAACCCAATCCTTAATTTTCCACCCATTGGAGTACAATAAGCGTACACTTGTTCTCTCTTGGGAAAACTCACATGCACAATCTCACACTCACTTCTTAGGATTCTGTCGACGAAGCATGGTGACGGCTGCAAACTTTCTCTGACGACTTCATTCGATATCTGTCTTCTTCCTCTTAATGTCACTCCAACGGTTGAGCATTTCTTTGAAAAATGGTAGAAGAACCCAATTAACTTCAAATTGCTTCCTTTTGTATCTACTCATTGCCACAGATTAAGGTAACTGCAATAATTGTTATAAAGTTAGTTCGCCAAACGTTAGACTTCTTCCTGACGTATATGTGTCGGGTTGTGGGCGCTTAAGTGCCCACTTGGATGCTACTCGAACAAAGGAGTCGACACCTAGACTCCGGCTTTTGGTGCATATGCGCCCGCTATAGAGCAGACACTACTCTTATTCCCGAGAGGCTGACGCATAGGCGGTGATCTATTGGCACCTAGCAGCTGATTGATTGGCACCTAGGCGCCCATTATGGGGCACCAATACAAAGCGCTTGGAGCTTAGGTGCCAAGTTTGAGCGCCTCAGCGCGCGGTGCAGTTACTATACAAAAAATTAGGTTTTAATCCAACTTTTAAGTGTGGATATGGGAGTTTGATGTTTTCTTCTTTATGAATTATTCGACGAGTATCCCGATGAAGATGAGTAGTGTCGAAGAGGTGGATTTTGGTGATTCAGTGGGATTTTTTGCATCTGATTTGAGAGGGAAGATTGTTGGTGCAAGTCTTGTAAGTTTCTTCATGTGAGTGTGGAGAAGAAACTTGTGTGAGTCCTTTATAAAACTTTCTGAATTTCATAGTGAAAATTATAGTGGTGTAGCTTCGTGGTCTTTTCCCGTTGGGGTTTTTCACGTAAAATTTTTGTGTGCTTTTCTGGTTGCTTTGATTGTGCTGTTGTGTTTAAATTTTTCGAAACCTGCGATTCTATTCCATGGTGAAATTAAAAGGAGACTCTTTCACAATTGTTTTGGCTAACAAACTGGTATCAGAGCGGGTTTAATTCAAATGGAAGTAATAGACGGAGAAGCAATGTTCAAAGTGGAGAAGTTCAATGGAATGAAATTCGCTTTCTGGAAGATTTAGGCGAAAGATTTGTTATATCAGAAAAAATATACTTGACACTATAAGGAATCACAAGAAAACTTGAGTCTATGCCTACAAATGAATGGGAAGTGTTGGATCGAAAGACACTTGGTTTGATCATGTTAACACTTTCCTCATTTGTTGCATTCAACATTGTGAATGAGAAAACTATGGTGGATCTCATGACAACACTGACCAAGATGTGCGAAAAATTTTCTGCTTTCAATAAAGTTTTTCTGATAAAAAATTATTTAACAAGAAGATGGTGGAAGACAGTTTAGTGACAGAGCATCTCAATAACTCTAACACCATGACGAGCCAGATGTGTTATGTGGGGATAAAGTTTGATGATGAAGTCAGAGCACTAGTGGTACTATCTCCATTACCGAAAAGCTGAGATGGTTTGGTAACGACAACAAGTAATTCTTGAGGGACTTTAAAGTTAAAATTTGATGATATCGTAAGCCTGATGTTGAATGAAGAAGTTTGCAGAAAAGCATTAAATGGTGAATTTTTATGTTCTGGGTTGAATTTTGATAACATGGGAAAGAATTTGGGCGGGAATACAAGGAGAGACAGATTCAAGTACAAGTAAGGAAATCCCAAGTCAATCATAAAAAAATGATGGAACTGCGGTAAGAAAGGGCATGTCAAGAAGGATTGTAACGCTCCAAGGAAAGCTGATGGTGGACATGAAAGTAGTTTCTTTACTAATGTCTCCTTTGGTGAATCCAAAATGACTCCCTGGTTTTATCCCTAGTCAGAACTGAATCCTGTATAGTGGATTTAGGTGTATATTTTCATGCTTGTGCCAATAAAGAGTTATTTAAAAACTACAGTTAGAGTGATCTAGGGAAGGTTTATCTGAGAGATAACAAGGCTTGAAATATAATTAGAAAGAGTGATGTTGATATCAAGTTACAAAATAAAGCAGTCTGAATGCTCACTGAAGCTAGACATGTTCCTAATTTGAAGAGAAATCTTATCTCTGTGAGTGATCTAGAAAAGTCAGGACAGGTGATTCGTGGAAGGTGACCAGGGGGCATTACTGATTTCTCAGGAAACATTGAAGGGACTATTTATCTAATCACTGAAATGACTAATTTTATTATTGTGGCTGGAACCATGGTGGATGCAGTTTTGTGGCATCGCATGTTTGATCATATGAACGAGAAATGTATGAAGTCCTTACTTTCAAAGATAAAGCTTCAAGGTCTGAGATCAATTGATTTGGATTTTTTGTGAAAATTGTATTCATGCAAACACAAGGTCTCTTTTTCTAAGAGCAAGTTAGTAGTCAAATCAAAGAAACTGAACTTAGTGCATACTGATGTATGAGGTCCTACTCTAGTTCAGTTCATTAGAGGTTCTCGCTATTTTGTCTTGTTCATTGATGATCACACAAGAAAAGTATGGGTGGTTAATTTCTTAAAACAAAAATCTGATGTATTTGAAGCCTTTATGAAATTGAAAGCTATGATAGAAGATGTGATAGACTTGAAGCTGAAGTGTCTCAAATCAGATAATAGGGGTGATATCGTGATTATAAGTTCAGGAATTTATCTGCTACAGAGGGGGTCAAGCACGAGTTCATTGCACCAAGGATATCGCAACAGAATCATGTGACTGAGAGCATGAAAAAAACAATCACGGAGTGTGCTAGAAGCATAAGACTCCATGCAGGCTTGCTAAAACAATTTAGGACAGAAGCAATAAACACAAATGTTTATCTGATAAACTGTCGCCCATCAGTACCTTTAGAGGAAGACTTACTTGAAGAATCCTAGAGTGACAAAAATGTATGTTTATCTTATTTAAGAGTATTTGAGTGTTCTTAATATGTGCATGTTGATGTAGGGTCCAGGGGCAAGCTTGACTCAAAGTCTATCCAATACACCTTCGTTGGATAAGGATAATATGAGTTTGGGTACAAGTTCTGAGATTATCAAAATAAAAAACTCATCGTAGGGATGTCACATTCTACGAAATGAAGATGTACAAGGATAGGGTCAGAACTCAGAACGTTTTGTCAGCTACTTTTGAAGAATCCAGATATATGGAGATAGAAGATATTTGTGATTAGGAAGATGCAGAAAGAAGTAGTGCTCAATTAGAAGGAGCACTGAAAGTTCCTCAGCCATCTGCTACAGAAGTCAGAAGATCCAGCGGAGTGAAACAACTCATACAAAGGTATTCTCATTCCTTACACTATTTGTTATTAACTGATATTGGTGAACCAAAATGCTTTGAGAAAACCACTCAAGTTGAAGATTCAAGGGAGTGGGAGCTTTTCATGGATGAAGAGGATGAAGAAATGCAATCTTTTGAGTTAAATTAGACTTAGGATTTGATGATACTACCAAATGACATAAGAGTGTCGCGCAACAAGTGAGTCTACAGGTTGAAAGAGGAGTCGGACGGTAGCAAGAGCTACAAGGCAAGACTTGTTATTGAAGGATTTCCAGTAGAAGGAAGGAGTGAATTACAAAGAGGTCTTCTCCTTAATGGTGAAGATGACTACTGTCGGGGTTGTACCGAGTATGGTAGCAGTGGAAGATCTACATCTAGAGTAGATGGATGTAAAAACGGTTTTTTTTACATAGAAATCTGGAGCAGGAACCGTACATGGTGCACTCACAAGGTTGGTTATATGATTTTAGACGAAAAATTTTTGGCATGTAAATTGAAGAAGAGCTTTTATGGCTTGAAGTAGATTCTGAGAGAGTGGTATAAGAGGTTTGAAATGTTCATATTAGAGAATGGATATATGAAGTGCCAGACAGACACTGTTGCTTCATGAAACACTTCGGTAATGGTTATATTATGATTTTTTTGTATGTGGATGATTTGCTAATTGCAAGGGAAGATATGGAGAAAACCAGGAACTTAAAGAAATAGTTATCAAATGAGTTCGAGATGAATGATTTATGTTCAACCAAGAAGATCCTCGGGATTAAAATTAAAAGGGACAGGAGTGTATGAACACTGAAGTTGTCTCAGGCAGAGTATGTTGAGAAAATCTTATAAAGGTTCAATAAGAGTGAGGCAAAACCAGTTAGCACTCCCTTAGTCACTTCAAACAATCTGAGGAGCTATCACTTACTTGTGAACCAGAATAAACACAAATTGAAAGAAGTTCATATGCTTTAGTAGTTGGAAGTTTAATGTATGTGATGATTTGTACCAGACAAGATATTGCATTTGTAGTGAGAGTGGTCAATAAATACATGACAATTCAGGTAGACATCATTGAGAGACAATAAAGTGGATTCTCAGGCATTTGAGGGGAACAATCAATAAGGTACTTTGCTATGGAAGTGCAGTGATTAGTCGACAGGAATTTGTAGATTCAAATCTGACAGGAGATGTTGACACTATAAGAAGTACAACGAGATATATCTTTACATTAGGGAACACATGGCGACTTAGGTTTCAAGGTTGCAGAGGATTGTTGCAACTTCAACTACGGAGGTTGAATATGTTGCTATCACTGATGCTAGTAAGGAGATGATTTGGCTATAAAATTTCGTGGTAGAATTGAGCAACGAGCAGAGAATTGGAAAAATCTATAGTGGCAGTATGAGTGCGATTCACCTTATTACGAATGCTGCTTTTAATGCCAGGATGAAACACATCCAGCTCAGGCATCATTTTATTCGATCTCTTCTAGAAGATGAGCAATTATTTCTGGAAAAAATACACACAACTGAGAATCCTGCGGATATGTTGACGAAGGTGGTGCCTATTGAGAAATTGAAGCTTTGCTTGACTTTATTAGGGTTTCATGAAGGTTGAGATCGGGGGAGAGCTACACCATGGTACGTGAGCATATTACATGATTATGAAGGTGATTCAGGTGGAGGCATAGGTACAAGATTGACATTGGGGTGCTATAGTCTCCAAGTGGGAGATTTTTGGATTGTGGAGTTTAAGCACAAGAAACCCAACACATATTCGGCGGGGTTAAGCACCCACTTATGTGCTGCTCGAACAGAGGAGTCGACACCGACTTCGGGCGTATATGCGCCCGCTATAGAGCAGACACTGCTCTTATTCCTGAAAGACCGGTTCATAAACGTCGGTCTATTGGCACTTAGGCACCCATTATGGGGTGTCGATACAGAGCACTTAAAACTTAGGCACTAAGTTTGGGCGCCTAAGCGCTCGGTGCGATAACTACAAAAAAAAATTGGGTTTTAAGCCAATTTTTGAACGTGGATCGGGGAGCTTGCTGTTTTCTTCTTTCAGAATTCTTCGAGAAGCATCCCAATGAAGGTGAGGAGAGTTGAAGATGTGGACTTCAGTGATTCAACGTGATTTTTTGAATTGGATCGGAGATGGAAGATTGTTGGTGCAAGTTTTGTAAGTTTCTTCGTGTGAGTGCGGAGAATAAACTTGTATGAGTCATTTGTAAAACTTTCTAAATTTCATAGTGAAATTTTTGGTGGTATGACTATGATTTTTTCCCGTTCTATGTTTTTTCCACGTAAAATTCTTATGTGTTTTTCTGACTACTTCAGCTCTTTCACATTAGTTTTCCTTAACATAAGGTTCTAGTGTGGCACCTTGATTTTTTCCCATTCTATGTTTTTTCCACGTAAAACTGTTATGTGCTTTTCTGACTATTTTGATTGTGCTTTTGTGTTTAAATTTTTGTTTAAGTTTTCTCAAATCTTGTGATCATATTCCACGGTAAAATTAAAAGGAAGCTCTTTCACAGTAGTTTTCCTTAACATAAGGTTCTAGTGTGGCACCTTGACACTAAGTGGTGCCTAGGCTCCAACCTCTTGGTTGGAAGCCTAAAATTATTCTAAAGTGGCCCCTTGTGGTACCCTCTTGGTAGAAATATGTTGTGGAAAAGAGTGGGAGGCGCTAGACGCCATTTGCGCAGCGCAATATTAAGTTTCAAATTTAGTTATTTTGTTCTTTTCAAGATCTATAACATACAATTAACATAAAAAACACATAAAATTATAAATACAATATAAATAACAAAAGAAAATAAAGAAAATATATTAAAATAATTCGCACATTTTAGACGCATAGGTTAACTTCTTCATCAGCACGTCTCGACAAATCTTCTCCACATCTACTGCATTTTAAGTGGTCAAGGTCTGGATCGGTTGGCCCCCCTCAATTTGTCATCGAATAGGCCAGTAACTAGCCGGGTCCATCTCTAACCGATCGGTTCTCATCGCGCATTTCTATACAACTTAGTGAGATTGAACTGGCCATCTTGGGACCGTTTGATTCATCCAAATGCCTTTCCATTATACAAATATAACTTATTTAGATTGTACCCAAAAAAAAAATATTTTTTTTCTAAGTATTCGATATATGAACAGATAGCAATAGGTCTAAAGGCCGATGGGCACTGGCCCGTTGAAAATTCGCGGAACCTCCACATGGAAAAATTGGGAGCAAGCTCGCAGTTTGTTGGTCAGCGCCTTCCTTCCCAGTCGTTGCTCTTCCCGTCAACTTTAACGAATAAATTATCAATTTTTATCTAATTTTCATCATCTATAAATGAACATAGCTCCCAAAGTATCTGTTTGATCCTCGATTCCACAAAATCGGCGTAGCTGCCTCTCACCCCTGTTCTCTCCGTCCCAAAATTCGGATTTTTGAGCCATCGCAGTCCCCGAATTCGTGATTTATTCTATAATTACTGTTCAAAATTAGGATTTTGATCAGCCGCTCGGCAATCGATGTGTCGATTTCATGGGCAATACATGCCGGGGATCATCCGGGAGCAAGTATTTTCAATCATACGCGGAGCCGACGGAGCTTTGCGGATCTAAACGGAGTTTCTCTTCTTTCAATCCTTCGATCCCTTCACATTCCTCCGACGAGGAACTCACCTGCTCCGGCGGCATGAAACGGGCCGTTGATCCTCCGGCTAACTCGGTGCTCGGCCACAAAACACCTAACATCTACGACTCCTTCAAACTCGGTCGGAAATTAGGGCAAGGGCAGTTCGGAACTACGTATTTGTGCACGGAGATCGCCACCGGGATTGAGTACGCCTGCAAGTCGATTACCAAGCGTAAGTTGATTACTAAAGAGGATGTGGAGGATGTTCGACGGGAGATACAGATAATGCATCATCTCTCCGGCCATAAGAACGTGGTGCAGATCCAGGGCGCGTATGAAGATCCGCTTTATGTCCATATCGTCATGGAGCTCTGCGGTGGAGGAGAGCTGTTCGATCGGATTATTCAGAGGGGGCATTACAGTGAGAGGAAAGCCGCGGAGCTGATCAAAATTGTTGTTGGAGTCGTTCAGGCTTGTCATTCTCTCGGCGTCATGCATCGTGACCTAAAACCGGAGAATTTTCTGCTTGCTAACAGGGATGATGATTTATCTCTCAAGGCAATTGATTTTGGGCTCTCTGTGTTTTTCAAACCAGGCGAGGAACTTTTTGAAAGATGATTAAGGATTTCGTTTTTCTGGATTCTAATGTTGTTCGTTTTCTCTGATGCAGATCCTTGAGAAGAACACTACTTTTACAATAATTTTTTTTTTATATTTTAAATTTTGCAAGTAGTGTTAGTTACTTTGCTCATTTCTCTTCTAATCCATCTTGATGGTGTTAGAAAATTTGCGGC